GTAGTAGTTGTTTATAATCACAATAGTGCATAAACATTATTTTGAAAGCTGGTAAGTCTGTGCTGTGAGGAATACAATGAATCTAAAACATTGTCCAGTCTAATGGAGAGAATAAAAGTCCATTAAGTAACTGAAATATGTGGCAAAAAGTGATTATTTTAAAGAAAAACTATGAGATAGGAAATAATAAATATTGGAAAGGTTGGAATTGAAGTTGGCTAGCTTATTTCTCAATAGGGTAATCAGGGAAGGCTCTGTGGTAGAAGGATCGCTGAAATATAGGAAGAGAAGGTACCTGGTTGAATTTTTATTAAAAGTGTTAGTGTTTTAATAGATTCATGGATTTTAAGCTTTGGGCTATGGACCTCAGTTACCTATACAAATGGAAAATAAAGAACTGTGATGTGTATGTAACGGTTTGCAAAACAAAAAAACCCCAACCCCCCTGCATTTATGATTAGGAAACCAAGCTGGACATAGACCAGTAACATCTGCATTAAAAAACATCCAAAGCTGTATATCAGATACTTGATATACTCTGTTCTAATTTAATCAGGTGCGTAGACTAGTACTTGAAGTCGTCTTCCATTTACACGTTAAGAAGCAGGTAGGTGGGTGGGTGTTACTTTAATTACTAGCTCCAGAACACCTGATTTTAATAGAAACCTTGGGCAGGTTGTTTAGGATACTCCATATCTAGACGCTTTCCAGGAGCACCAGACCACAGCTACTCCTTCGTCATTTTTCCCACTGGCTCCCTTTCCTATTTTCACTTTACCCAATCTTCTCACACTTTTTGGAAATACAGAAAGTATCTGTTGCCCCACTGGCTTCTGGCCAAATGCTGATTTTCTGCATGGGGAAAGTTAACCCCTTAAAAGAAACTATTTGGAGGGATATCTAGCAAGGGATTGCTTTTTCTTTTAGAGTCAACTTTGTATTTGGTTCATAAATAGCCAAACTATATGCTAGTTTGGTGCTTCTGGTGTAGACTAAATAATTCAGAGGACTGAGGACTGAGTGAATGCCCCCCCAATAGTAAATTCCATGCATTACCTTTGCTCTATTTCATTGGCTACTGTAGATATTACCAGACAGACAATAAAAGGCCCACATAATTTATTTTCATACTGACAATAAGGTAAGAACTTTATTTGGTCCATGAGTGTAATTAATCTTGATGGCAACATGAGTTATGAACAGAAATCAAAGTCAAAATACAGAGGCTGTATTGCATTGAGATGTCAGGCTTGCTATTTTCATTAACATTTTGTTTGTTTTTCAGATACTCATTAACTGTTCATTTGAGCTATGTGTTTCAAATTGGATTCCCCTGTTATATGCCACATGAGTGTGGTAGAGATTTATTTGTTCGGTTATCTTGATTAGTGTAACCAATTTATAATTCAGTACAAACTAAAGCTGCCCTGTTCTGCCTTATCTGGTTTACTTTTGGCCATTTATCTAACTGGAAATTTGCTAACTATCTACTTCACCTTGTGGTCTGTAGATGTGATTATAAATGTAGATTTTCAGTCACAGAACAGGGAAATCATGTATTGTAGGTTAGAAAACATCAGAAATGTGACCAGCAGTTTTTATGCTCCAGGAAATTATTGATCCATTTTTATTAGCACTTTAACTTATCCAGAACAATTTCTCTTCCAGCCTTAGGGATTCACTGACTCATTGACTAAACAAGTAAGACTTGAGCACTTGTTTTGTGCCATGGCACAGAGCTCTTGTACTTGGAGCTGGGAATACAATCTTAAACAAGATAGGCACACTTTTCCTTCATGAAGCTTATAGTCTAGTGGGGGAGACAGGCAAGTAACCAGGCCTTTTGTCACAGGATGAGAAGTGTGATAATTGAGGAAATCAGGGTGCTAGGGGAGCACGTAAGAGGGACGTCCAAAGTGGACGTGGGAGGTCAGGGAAGATGTGAAAACTAAGCAAAGACCTGAAGACAATTAAAATTAGTCAAGCTGTATGCCCGAGTGTTGCAGGATGGGTTGTGGAGAGGGAGATTAAACAGATAAGCCCAGGAAAGTAAGTGGCCACGAGCTCTCACAGGCAATGTTAAGGAGTGTGGTTCATTCAGATGATAACAGGTTTTAATTTTAGAAAGCCCACTCTGGCTGCCTCGTGGTGAGAGGATTAGTGGAGGGCAAGACTGGTGGGCAGAAGACTGGATGGTGGTGTCTGAAGTAAGGCAGTAACGAAGGAGAGAAATAGGTAGATTTGGCAGGTCTTGTAGAGGCAGAATCAGTATGACCCGCTGATTTGGAGTGACTGTGGTGGGTGAGGGAAGGAACGGTCAAGGGTGATGTTCATCTTTCTGGAGTGGATGGTGCTGTCCTTCACTGTATGGAGAATGCCAGGGGTGGGGCAGGTTGAGGGTGAGATGAGGAGTTCAGTTTTGTGCATATTAGGAGTTAGGGGACAACCAAAGGCAGTTGCATATGTGAGTCTAATGTTCAGAACGGTCTGTTCCTCATCTATCACGTGGATTGTCGCGGAAGCCACGGGAATGGAGATCATTCAGGCAGAAGAGGAACTTATTAAGAGGGTTATGGGGGAAATGGAGGAATAGCTACAGTTTTGATATGGGCAGAGGAAGGAACTCATAGAGGGGCTGAAAGGAGAGCCCAGAGATAAAGGAGAAATACCAAAGAGACTGTGTCAGTGAGGTCACGAGAGCAATGCAAAGAGTGGGTGTTCAGTAGGTCAGATACTGCTGAGAGGTCAGTCAGATGGGGAGGGAAAGGTCTCCTGGGTTTAGCGACAAGGAAATTGTTAACCTCTGCCTGTGCAGATTCAGCTGAGGCAGAACCAGGTTGTTTCTCGGGGAGAATGAGTGGGCGGTGAGAGGTGGAGTCAGAAGGTATAAAGAACAAACTTCAAGAAACTTGGAGGAAAAAGGGAGGAGGGAGAAGTGTCCTCGCTGTAGGGGAATGCAGGGGACAAGGGAGGGTGCTACTTGTTTTTTCTTCTTTGAGAAGAGACTTTCCTTTTGAATGATCCGGCATCTTGCACCATGGGATCCCTTCACTCTGGGACCACGAGAAAAGCCCGTGCGTAACAACTCCTGCTGCCTTGAACAGTGCAGGGGCAACCCTGGCGTAGGTTAAAGCCTCTCTCAGAGCTCCCTGAGCTCCCTGCTTCTCCACTGCCTCCACCAGTTCGGTGGTTTATATAATGGGAGGGCATGAAAGAATGTGTTGACCCTTCCCCTGGGACCAGACAACCCCTCTTGCCACCCTGTACCCTGCTTTGGAGCTCACAAAACACTACATCATATCATTTGATTTACACTCCAAAACAGCGTGTGAAGAAGGCAGGACAGGTATCCTTATTTGACCTACATCTGAAATTCAGGTTCAAATGACTTGCCCCGTATTCTACATCTGGTAGTAGTGCAGGCAGGTTCAAACTCAGGTGTCCTAATTCCAGATCTTCTGATCCGAAAGTAATTGCCTTTCACTGAAAGGTTAGATATGATATTTATATCTTCACTGTAGTGTGATCATATGAAACCCTGGGCATATTGTCTTTTAGTACATTTAAGAAATAAGACTGAAAGTTGTGGGTCAACTTTGTTATTTTGTTTATACACTGATATTTGACCCCCCACCGACCCACTCTCCCAAAAGTTAAGTTGGTTTGAGAAGGAGGCAGTTTATTTGGACATGCTTAATTCTTAAAATGTGTTTGAATTATCTGTAGTCACATCTAATTTGAAACTATTTCTTTTAATTCTCTTGACACAAACACTTATTTCCAGGTTTTTAAAAAGCAAACATTTTTACAAGTGTTTGTATTTATTGCTTAAATGAAAAATGATGTCTTAGGGAAACATTAGTAAAAGGGTTGTGCAATTAGGACTATGCAAACATTTACAAAAGCACTTGTTTGGCCTAACTGAAGTCACAGTTATTATATCCTTGCAGGCATTCCAAGTATTGTGTCCAAGGTCACTAAGAGAATTGAGGTTAGCTATTTAGTTAAGAGAACAGCCTTTTATTCTGTTTGTTCAGGGACCTCTCATCCACCATTCCCTCAGAGAACTTACAATGACACACAAGTATTACAGAGGTGATTTTTCAGCAAATTAAGTATAAACTATTTCCCTGGGTATAAAGATGATATTTAGCAATTAACTTTCTAAATTGTGGGATTAACAAACAGCAAGATTTTAAAGTAAATATTAGTTAAAGCTGCTGGTATTTGACACTAAAATTCAAAGCATTGTGTATAAAATTTTAGCTGCATTATCTCAAAGCAATTAATTTACTATGAATTGTCACATAAGACTGTATGTGCATTTTAGAGTCATTTTTCCACTCACTCACTGGCCGTATTACTTTGGACAAGGTACTTCATTTCTTAAATCTCAATTTCCTTATCTGTAAAGTGGTAATAATAATAGTAGCTCTCTGATAGGGTTGTTGTGAGGATTTAACAATATAATGCAGATAAAGGGCTTAACACAATGACTGCCCTTTAGTAGGTACTCAGTAAATATTAGCTATGACTCTTCAGTCTTGACCTTGGCTTAGGAATTATAAGAACTATCTTTACTGTTTAAAATATTTTATTAAGTGCATCATTCCACATTTAACGTGTCTGTACACATTGAAGGAGTCCCTTGCAGGACATTTTTAGGGCTTAGTATAGAGGTAGTGTCTGATGCTGGGCAGCTATTTGAGTCCCAGCTATCATATCCTATCATTCTAATGTCAGATTAAAACAAAGAAAAACAGGCCAATCAGAGTTCCAGAATGCAACTCCAGAATGGTTACACACTGTAGGAGTGTTTTAGCAGGTTCAAGTATAGTAGAGAAAGAAAAAGTCACTTAATTACCTCTCATGTACATTCACCCTAAATACCTATAGGAACCAGTTTTGTAAATATGTGCTAACCTATATGCTGGTTGTTGTTTTGAAGGTTAAAGTGGTGAGTAGTCTCCCTTCTGCTAATCAGCTGCGTTGACCTAAGGAATTAAAGTCAACAGGAAGTGAGGCGATTATTCATTTCCTGTAACGTCGAAGCCACCCAGCAAAGGCCTTCCGTTGAGCAGGTGTTGCTGTGGGTCAGAAAGCCTTGGATGGTTTGGGAAGAAGCCCTCTGCACTCTTGCCTCCCATCTATGTGGCTCTTAGTTCACTTCAGCTCACTCTTGGGCGGGGCCTCTGGAGCTGTTACTATACTGACAGCTTCATGACGGAAGCGCCATTTCTAGAGCAGGTACAGTTGGTTTGTTTGTATGTTTGTTTCCTTTGCCTTTGGTTTCTTTCAACTGAACTCATCTATATGTATATACATTATTATGTCACTTACTTGTGTTCTGTCACTTAAGACCCTTTATTGTCACTTGATTAGTAATGATTCCTTATTTATTCTCCCATAACACATTTTGTTTACTTCTGTTAAGGCACCTTTTTACACATTGTTTTGAGTTTCCCCATTAGCTAACTCGATCCTCGAGGGGAGGAGCTGCATTCTGTGTCCCTCGCATCTAACAGTGTTTGGGTACTTGGCCCATCCTCTTGTCAATACTTATTGAGTGTAAATGATTGTGTGGTTAGGAATCAGCTAGCTTGTAATAGGAATAGTAATTGCTGTAGATTTTACAAAGAACTTTCGCTTACATTATCCACATTTGTGCTTCATAGCTCTCTAAGATAGATGGGGGCAAGCACTGGCAGATTTTCATTTTGCAGATACGCAGGGCCCAGAAGTGCTGAGTCAGCCTGACTTGCCTGAAGTCACTCAGCTTGGAAGGCAGTGCTAGAACATGAGCCCTTTTCTGGGTCGGAAATCACTGTTAAGTGTTCTTCCCATCACTATACCTCTGTCCCACTGAAGAAACTCAAAACTGGGTAGCTCCTCCGTTAGATTCAAACTTACTCCTTGTTTATGGTCCTTCTAATACCAGGGCCCCTGAGCAATTTAAAGTGATTCAAAAGGTAATTGAACGTGGGTGGCTTACTGGAATCAGTAATTAGACAGGGGTTCCAGGAACTTTTTTTTTCCCCATGGGGACTTCAGCTGACAATAGATGAGTCATCTTGGTTTCTCTTTCATAATCTTTAAAATAGTTCTGCTACTTTATTCACCTCTCTCTGGTGAGATGACTACATGTATTTATCAAGAGGTTTATCAAGCACTTTATAAACTATACTCTAAGCCATGCATGTGAAGATGGTTATTCTCAGTAAAGCCAAGTGATTTTTGCTCAGGTTAACTGAATTTGAGGAGTTATGTGAGAAAATTGGATGAAATTCCATCCTGTATTGGGTTTGGAAGCATCGCCACAATTACTCAGGCTCAAGATTCTAAATAGTATGACTAGCTAATGACATCTTTGAATCTAAAGCTACTTCCTTAGTTCTTTTGGGGTGTCTTGCATATCTGAGTCTCAGTGTACCTCCTTTGCGGGGGGGGGGTCATTATCTTTGTTGTTGCAGTCTGTCACATGTTTAGCCCAGGCCAGCTGGCTTTGCTTAGGTGCCACCTGCATGGACACTGGTCAGTTACTCCCTGCTGCAGTTGGAGGCTGATTCCAGCAACATGCAGTTGTTATGATGGAAATTTTCTCTTTCTTCATCTCAGTCCTAGGATGAAGATAATTTGAATAGCTCTTTGGTTTGTTTTTAAATCACTATTCCTTGCCATGGAGGTAAAGGGAAGTGGAAAACATGGAGTCGGCATTTTTGGACACTTACATAACTGAAGTTTGCGTCTGTCTTGTTTCTAAAAGCTGGACATTGGAACTCTGGTGGTTTTATGAAATGGGCTTCCCAATCAAAAGCCTTGGCTCTTCAATCCGTGGTTGACCTAGGGGCATAATAACATTACTGCCTTCAATAACAAAGCAATCTGAGATTTGAAGTGCCAGGCTTATATTTAGTTTGGTTTCTGGGAAAACATCTTTGGGGCATCAAATGTCTCAATGATTTTGCAAGTGGCAAACAATAAACAAGCACAAAGATGTACTGAAAAATGCTTTAAATGGATTGCCTGGGAGTATTTCAGAGGAACATCTCCTTACTGGTATTGGAAAGAGCTTGAACTTGAAGTCACTGGAAAATGAGACCAGCTAAGCTACTGATTTGGAGTGGTTCACAAAATAATACCTGACTGCTGCATAGGTACTTTTGTTTCTGTAAAAGGTCTGAATGAGGTCTTTTGCTACCTGATCTTTGCCATATTATTTTTAAACCTGGTTGCAATAGCTTACAAGCTCTCTCTACCAAGAAAACATTTAAAAGCTCAAATCAACATATTTTGGAAAGCATGCCAAATTTTACTTCAATAAGCTAATAATGAATTCACATATACTTTTTCCAGAAAACCAGAGTGGTATTTATATCTACAGGAGTCAGTGCTTCGCAAACACTCTTTATGCAGTTTTCATTCAACAAATGTTTACTGAGCACCCCTTGTGTACTGGCCATACTTCTAGGCCCATTGGGGGTTATAAAAATGAAATAGGGTAGAATCACTTCTCAAGTTGATGTAAGTCCAGTAGGGTAGGTGTGTGACTTTAGACAAGTTATATATCTTTGTTTTCTTGTTTTTTTTTAAAATGTCTTTATTGATTTCAGAGAGAGAAGGGAGAAAGAGAAACATCAGGGATGAAAGAGTCATTGATCGGCTGCCTCCCGCACTCCCCTGACTGGGGATTGAGACTGAAACCTGGGCATGTGCCCTGGCAAGGAATCGNAGAAACATCAGGGATGAAAGAGTCATTGATCGGCTGCCTCCCGCACTCCCCTGACTGGGGATTGAGACTGAAACCTGGGCATGTGCCCTGGCAGGGAATCGAACTAAGATCTCCTGGATCATAGGTTGATGCTCAACTGCTGAGCCATGCCAACTGGGCAACAAGTTATATATCTTTGAGCCTTAGTTTCCTCATCTGTAAAGTGGGATAATAGTACCCACGTTGCACATCGTGAGAGTTAGAGATATAAAGTACCAAGCAATGTAACTGGCACAAAATAGGCTTTTGATAAATTATACAGTAATTGTTATCATCATTTCAGAAAGAACAGGCAGCATGTGCTATATGTTCTGGGGGCAGAACCAAAGACATTATGTGGATGTTTAAAGAGAGAGCAGGCCATTTTAGGATCAGGGATCAAAGAATGCTTGTGGAAGATGCAGCATTAGAGCTTGAAGAGTGGATAGAATTTCAGTAGGTGGAGGGGGGAGAGGGTACCGCAGAGATAACTGTAAGCAAAGTCTTGGAGTTGAGAAAACATGGCATTTGAGCAACACATTCCAATTTGGAGGAAAAGAGTGTATTTGATGGAAGAGAAGTGGGAAGTTGTACAGGCAAGCTAGGCCAAGACTGCGAAGGGCCTAGAGCAGCAGGCTAAAGAGGCGGATGTTGTGGTCAATGGAAGTGTCGTTGTAGGATTTTATTTGCTGCCATCTCCCAGGGCCTAGAACTGTGTCCAGCCCATCGAGAGCCCTCAGCAACTATTAATTGAATGGATAACTGGGTATGATTTTAGACAAATTGAGCTTAATTTGCCATGAGATACGCCAAGTAGAAATGTCGTACAATAGTTGGGATCATAGGAACAGAGCTCGGCCTGAGATTGAGACTGAAGGTGGAAATTTGGGAGGCTTGAACATAGAGGTATTATCAAAGTCATAAGTATGGATAAATTGACCCAAGAAGCACATGTAGCTCTAGTCAGAGAGGAGAGCTTAGGCAGTGCCCCCATTGATGAGACCTATAAGGACAGGAGGAAGATAGAGACTGAGAATGAGAGGGAAACTGAGGGAGTGTGGTGCCTCTGAAACGCAGGAGGAAATGTTTGAAGGGGGCAGATTAATTGCATCAAGGAGGGTCAGGACTTTGAAGGACTGTGGATGTGTAAGGAGGAGGTCGGGGGTAGTTGGAGAAGAAACCTCCAGTCGAGTGGGGGGGCCCTGTGTCAGGTTGTAAGGTGAAAGTGGCACAGCACACTCTGGGACATTTATTTCTTTTTTTTTCAAGGTTAGTATTTACCAGTATTTGCTTTATGAACGTACATTTAAACCATGTGCCCAAACTGTGTATATAATCTGATTCCAATTAAATATTGGACAAAAACACACCTATTGATTTACTCTCTCTGAGTTACGAGATCATGACTGATTTTTCTTTTCCATATTTGTCAGTATTTTCCAGAGTTTCTATGAGTATTAATTACTTTTAGAACTGGAAAAAACACTATACAAATTATTTTTTTAAATGTTATACTCCTTATGTATTGCATGGCAATAAACTTATAAAACTATTCTAGCTGCTTCTAAAATTATTGAAATTTCTATACAGTGTAGCCATTTAATGTTCCCTCTAGGCCTGTGAAAATGGGATTCTACCTGTTTCTAGCTGTCCTTCTCTGAAAGACCCCTGAACATGTCTTATGAGGTCTCCATTGGCACTATTTCCTCACCTGCTGCTTGTGGCTTATCCGTATTTCACCAACATGCTTACTTTGCCTTTATGACAAAAAGCACCATGAACAATCATAACCTCTTGTAGCCTCATAGTCCAGAAGTGTCATGTTACTGGGGTCAGACCCTTTTGTGGTGGATCTGTCGCATTATGTAAGTCTTAGAAAATTCTCAGTGAGCCACAGCCTTAACCAAAGTGGAGAACATGTGAGAGCCACATGTGCTGACCATCCCAGCAGCCACCCTCGATGTGAAAAGGACTGGCAGAAATAGCTTATCCTAGGTGTCCTTGGCATTGCACTTTGCTCCATAGTCCAGCTGCTTCTAAAATTACGTGGTCCCAGACACCCTCTCAGCACCCATTAAATTCTGATTACAAGCCATTTAGTCAAGTTGGGGGTAGGGGGTGGGGAGTCGGTACCTTTACCAAACAGCTTCGGAGAGCATGGCATCTCTCTGTGGGCTGGGCTGGCCTTATTGCTCATCTCTGCTTCTGCCTCTGTATGGGAGGACTGCTGGATTCATCTTGTTAATTAGCCTTGCCCAATGAGCATGTAAACAGCAAATTTCCTTGTTAGAAAATAGCAATACACTGATCCTCCATCCTTGCACAGGATTCTTGGTGTTGAGCTTTGATTACCACTCTAACCAAGGGACCCAGCTTCTCAATCTGTTAAATAGAGGAAATGACCCTTTTTACAGAAAGGATATGCTATACAAAAATAAGATAAAATATCTAGAGATCATTGAGTTTGGCTGAAAACTAGTGTATCATAAATAGTTGGTTG